TGAACTGACGAAGCGGCAAGGACTTCTCAGTTCGATCGTATAAACGACCGGATGCTGGGTCTGATTCAACATAGTCCAGTCAACAACATGGTGCAGGACGGACAACTTTATGTCTTTTTTGCGTGATTATTATCAGGCAGATATTTTTGCATTGGAAGCATCCTGTTTCATGGCATATGTTTTAATAAGACTTCTCTTGACTAAATGAATAGTTTCTGTACATTAGGAAAGAAAGAACTGACTTTATCCTGGAATACAAACAAAGGCTAGATGATTACAACCGACATATAACACAAAATGAAAAGCTACATGCCTTTATCGAGTTGTGGAAAGCGAAATGCGCTGAAAACTTTAAGTTGACCGGTAAGTAGCCCCTTCTTCAAACCTTAAACTTCCCACAGTGATCCCTGACGTGATAAGAGAAATGTAAGTTGTCAAGATTCTCTTTACTACGTCTACTAGGGCCGAAGAAATATCTAGTTCCTACAACATGTCTCTTGTGGAAACACTAAAAAACGCACTTAGTGCATCAGCAGTAAGTTGTAATTCAGTTTTCTACATAAACATACAGGTAGAAAGTGAAGAAACAAGGATATCTTCCCCCAAAAATGTATGCATTGCGGGAAAAGATGAGATTCCTGCGATTATTCCAAAAACTCACCAGTCGAACACCTCATCTGATGAACAACTTAATTTGTCGAGTGATATAGATACTCAATTTCAGGGATGTAATGTTTTGGATGCAAGTCGCTTACGCGTGTCTGCACTTGATACTAGTGTGATTTCATCGCTTGTAAGAAAGGAAAGTGAGTACTATGACCCATCTATAATGTTTGTTAAGAACATTTTCCAAACCTTACAATTAATTCACTAGGATTGTTAGATTCGCAAATACTCAAACCGCACTCAGCAATTATAGACATCGGTTTGGAGAGTTGAAACTGAGGACACTACTAGCTGCTAGCACGCGAATCTCTAAATGCCCAAACTCTTGGTGTCAAGTTGTTAAGTATCATCTGTATGGCACTCAACATCTGTGGCTCTGTATATGATAAGCCTTTTGTTACGAACGCTTTGTCTTACCAATGTGCCCTACACCCAGCTCATGCTAAACATCCCTAGGTTGCCACTCCGTAGTTAAAATTGCATCACATGCATTTGGAGAGTAAACCAAAAGCGCACCCTTTCTATTCAAGTCTCACTTGAGCTTTAAAGTTGTTACGAAACATCGTTAGGCTGACGAGAGCAATAAATGTATCGCAGAAATCGCTATATATGGTGTAAAAAGTATAATTCTGAAGCCGTAACCGTCCTACTATGATTATATGTTGCACTAAACATATTTACACATTCCGTGTTAACTGAATTCTCGGGAACCTAACTTCGATCTTGCTTATTATATTACTCTTTAGTTTTTTCATATCTCTTGCTTCTTATTTATTTGAATAGTTTGCAGCTTGCTTTGACGTTGTTATGCAAACTTTTGTAAATCCTTTCAAAACGTTAGACATGTACGCTACCCATCTGTTTTCGATAAACGTGTTTATAGGAGAAATTCATAATGGGTAGACGTTTCAGCGCGCAAGCTTCGCCATTGATAAACTTTCTAACCAACCGTACTAAGTGAGGGAGATGCTAATATATTGCTTGAATTACTATGGTGTATGCGCAATAACCTTTTAATCTACTTTATCTAGAGAAAAGGCCGTAACAAACTGAGGATTCGAAGCCAAGTAACTACGTTGTCACTCAATCGCATTAATTACGAGGCAGTCGCACTGCATTTGAAACACAGTTAGGCCATGTTGTCTAGTTTTACTAAGCCTTGTCAGAGGACGCCACTTATATATGTGAGACCATAAATAAAAGCAAGGCCAGACATTTACTGTCAAAATTCTAAAGCTCATGGTCGGAATTTGATTACGGCGTAACGTTTTCACAGTGAATAGAACAATTAAGTTGACATAACTATTTTAATACCATTTCCTGCATCCCGTAATGTTTAGTTTTCTTTACTGCTTTCACATTTTGCTATTTAGGTTACAGTATCCCACATAAGAATTACGAACAAACTGATACTCAGCGAGATTATACAATGAATATGGATGTAACGATATGTGGGGAAAATGATGCATCTTCTTATTAAATTTACAACCAAACATAATTTTCTGTTAGTTTGTTTTTATCGAATATGCGCAATAAAGTTTATGGGCTATGGTTACTATCTTACATATTGCAAAGGGCTACTTATGTGTGACATGAGTTTGTCATGCACTGTGGGACTTTGACATTTACTGGTAAAGGTTCACACACCTTTCTCGACTCTAATAAATATATATCTGTAATATTATCGTAACTGATTATTCACATATCAAATCCACAGCTCCATTGCTAGTACAATTGATCTTAGATGTACCTTTGTCTGTGTTGGGTTAGTGTATTGTGGTGTACTTAGTGTTTAGCTTGGAATGTGCTTATGTATGGTAATCTTGAGTTGTGGGTATCACATAGTACGACGTAGAAGGATCATAAATTAAAACTTCACGATCGACACTTAGTGCTTAAACACTTGATGTAAGTGAGACCCAGTAGTATCGGTTTTTGTGGTTCATAATTTTTGTACCGAGTCCCTCGTACACGGGGTCTCTCTTGACTCGAAATTATAAAAAGACTAAAAAAGATGGTAAAACATTTGAGGTTCGTGTGACTTTTCGGAATTAGACATGTACCCATTTACCGATTCGAGGAAAATAACTAGTGATTTTGAGTTCAAGTTACCACACTCCGTTACGGCGAAGAGATGGATCTGTCAGGCCAAATCTTGAAAAAGAGGTAGCAACAGTACCAGTGGTAATACGAAAGATTAGGCATAAGACTCGGGAAAATATAAATAATAAAAAGTTAAGGGAAATTTAGTCAGAGTTCGGAGAAGATAAGGGACGGATGTGCCAGCAACCAATCGTACGGACCCCAACGTGGTGGTCTACATGTCACTATGGCTCGGTCTAGTTTCCACTGACGCCATGGACTGCTGCTACATTTTGGTTTGCCTGTTACTAGCTTTCTTCTAATCTACTGCTGCACAAGACTACATCGGCAATCGAGGTAGGCAGTGTTTGGGCATACGTAACACATGTTTCAGTTAACTCATTTGATGAAGATTCACTACCTCATCGACCTACTTCCCATCTTTATCTAGTACTTTATTCCTAACCTAGGGACTGTTTACTCTGTGGTTGCGAAATACGCGAGCAGTACTTCGAAAAAATCTATGACCGAATGCAAATATCCTCTACTCTTACCGGCAATGTTTCGCGTCTACAAACTAGAACGGAGCGAACTGTTGCGCAATAACCAGTCCCGGTTAGGTTTCGCTATAAGCCCTGAATCTACCAGCATTGTTCGTGTAGAAGACCTATACAATGTTAGTGTGATTGTCTTGTACTCCTTCCAGTGCCAGTCATAGAACCTCACGGTCAACGAGGTCGAACGCTGTCCCAGCGTAGGTTAATAAAACTATAACAGGACGTTGGACAGTATGTCTACATTCCAGAAATTTACAGTGTGTATACACCCAAATCTTAAACCAGCTGATTTTCTCGGCTTTGTTCTTTATGATCTCTAGTTAGGTGTCAAAGTATTACTGAAGCTAATATTTTAGACACTATACTAACTAACCTGACTCACCTGTGATTGTCGTAAGACGATTTTTATCTTTGCTTACAGATTGTGACAACCAGCAATCGACACCAGTTAGAAGGGATCGCGTCCAGTCCCCAGATTTTAGCTAACCTAACTGCTCCCCGCCAGTCCAATCTCCTGGACTAAGAGTAAATAATAGTCCTCACTTTCTTCAAGATAGTCTAAATAATAGCCAGATTCCCAATAACATTTTCTGACAATTATGAACAGTTATCTAGTATCACTCATCGCCGCTGCCTCCCATCTCCTCTGCATTCGCTATTCACCACTGCCCATGATCAGTGTAGGCTAATTGTCAGCTTATGTTTGAGCTGCCTCCGCTTTTCATACTCGCAACTAGATGGGAGTTTTAGAGCAACTACCAGCTAGTTCAGCAGACGCCGCTGATTTGTAATCTTTTGGTTTAAAGTGCCAAGGAAAACCGCTGCTGTTTCCACAGCTTTTGTAATGTCTTGTCAATAATAGGGCTTATCTTCGAGTGATGAAAGTAATAAGGCGAAGTTGTGTATCATAAGTCCCAACTGTGTTGATGGATACAGAGAGCGTGCCTAAAAATGTTGGTGATCTAGGATTCCAAATCACTAGAGCACATAAACTCGTAATTCTAACGAACAAATGCATGAACCTGCCAGTAGCTTTCATCAGAATGAATGCCTTGATGTTTCTTTCCAAGACAGTAGGTTAAGGAAAGGTTAGATGCAATCATACTTAGCATGATTGCACCACTTAATGCAGTAATTGATTTAAGATCAAATAAATACTACCATCGAATAAACATTTTTGAATATATAACAGATAGATTTATCCCTAGTGTCAATAACCGATCTTATTGATCTCTTTAGTATATTTATTAATTAACTTCTGACCCTGCATATTTTCAGTGTCGCAAGCTTAATCAGATCTCAGAACGTCAACTTGAACCACAACTTAGAAACATATGCTTAGTACCGAAACTAAGTTATGTAACTGGCAATAAACGTTACTATTTTGTATCCAAGACTAGTAAGATCTTTAACCGAAGTAGAATGTGCAGATAGTACTCTCAAAAGGTAAAAGATATGGGGCAGGTTACCGCGCTTCATTTGAAATTATCTGGGTCCGATTGCATTTACACAAACCATTGTTCCATGGTGCGCCTTGCGAATCTTGTTTGGTTTCACTTTTTCTCACGTGTTTATGTAATTTTCGAAGTAATTAGTACATATAAAAGTTGGGCCTCAGTAAAACTGAAGTAATAACAACTGACCGGCGTCATTTCAAGGGACTCTTACTCCAATACTCACCTAGCATAAGTATACGGCAATCAGTAATACAATCATTTGGTAGTTCATGTTATCTTTTATTGGGAAGAACTTAGGACAGAGAACGAATTAAGCGTCTTTTTTAATTGCCTTGAGTTTCTTGAAATTTCTGGGATTTCCGATAAGATACACATCTTCATTAAGAGCGATGCATTTTTACATCAAATGTGACAGTTTGTCTAACATTCTGACCAGTAAATAGAATCTCTCAACGTTTCATTAACGCAAACTTGAAAAGTAATTTGCAACTACACACAGAAGACTCACAAATAAATAGGCCGAAATTTAGGGTTTATATTATGTACACTCCCACTACTATGATAATATTAGGAGGGATGCGAAAGTTCCTTTTAAATCCTACGTTGTTTTCTAGGTCTTCTCCCATGGCCATAATGAACCTTTGTATCATCCGTCAAAGAGATCATCTTTAGTCCCGAGATATTCAAACCTGAGAGCACAGGCTATTAGATTAACCAAAAAGCAAGGAAATACTTACCAACCTACATGACCCTAGCCCATTAAATACAACACGCACAGCCCCAATCCCAAGTTTTTTCGCCTTCAGTCCTATGGAGATACCCACAGTTTGAAAAGCAACAGTAGACATTTTACGAGCGTTCCGGAAACCTTCAGCACCACAACTAGTGCCATTCAGAACTCGTCCATTACAATCAGTTAGTGTTGCAATCACGTTGTTTCTTCGTGAGAGTAAATGAAGAATGGGGGTTTCGTAATATTGTTTATCTTCCACTAATGAAGTCAAACATTCCTCTGTAATAACATGATGGCCCAAACTTCATTCAGTCAGGCTGAAATATAAGAATTACATATTTGGTTGTGGAGTTTTCTCGGCAACAGCATTTAAAGACCTTGGAACTTTTATGTCTGGTATATTTGTACTATTGAAAACCACCTGACTGGAAGCCCAGCGAAACACATTATGGAACAAATCTGCAAATAGAAGTAATCGAGACTTACTAGAAGTGTGTTTTGAGCATATCATACCCTAGAAACGAAGAATAGTTATATTTTATTGTTAAAAATGCACAAATGCAAGTGCTCAGATTACGGAATCTTCAGATAGGAGACTGGTCTCCAAATCAGATTTCGCTTCGAATACATCACGGCACTCATACATTTATGTACTTAATAAGACATTCTATTACTACTACTAACATTCATAACCTAGTCAGAGGAATTTATACTATTTGTTGATTTATTATTCAATCAGTAATAAAGTGCAACTAGAAACAAAAGAAATACAAACGAGCTTACTGAACCATTCGCTACTTTGAACCCATTATACTACTGAGGGTAATATTAGTTTCTAAGGCTGCTTCGAAAAGCACTAAATAAGTCCAAGGTTAGTGATGGTGGTCTATTACAAAAGTAAACATATTGCCAACATAAAAGTTATAGTCAGTCATATTCAACATAGATCTCAAATACAGACATTAGTTCTAGCTGACGAACTCCAGTATTTCAGCGAGATAAAATTTTCAGGACCAACCTTACAAGAATAGAGGTAGTTACAATAGCTGTGCCAACACAAAAGATAAGACATCGATCGATGCCCGCAAAATCGTATCATCGAAGATACGATTTTGGAGGAAAATATGCACTAGTGGCAAGAAGACGAATTTGTACGGTAAGTTAGAAACCGTAGACCTAAGGGGAGACAAAGAGCATCCGAACCATGTCACTGAGCCTCTGATTATTGGTTATGATAACCTTGTTAACCACAGCAGGTAGCCTTCACCTACCTAGATGTCTAAGTTCAACAGTTGATGTTTACATGGACTGGTATCCCATAGCTTTCTTTTAACCTACTCTTACACCAGTTGTAATTGCGCGTCGAGGTAAACAATGGATAAAGATACTTAATATATTGCCTATCCTACGTTGATAAACATTCAGTCTGCTTATTCAAACTGCTTGGGTACCGTGCTGAGCTGGATTTTATTATACCAATCTTCAAAAAACAAGCATTAACAACAGAGGGAATAAACGAGATGTATAGACCAATGACAGAACTTGAGTTAGGATTTTTGTTATATTAAGACCCTAGTCTTCCGAAATTAGTGAAATTTCGAGGTTTTCTTCCCGAGCTACCGAGTTTTGGGAAAGCCGGACTAGTAAACTTTGGGAAATTGCACTAAAACCCCAAAACTTCTTCAAGACTTGTGGAAATTACCCTTTGACCTTGGTAAACGTCAAGTGACTCCCCAAACCTGGGAGATTGGGTTCAGTCATTTAAAACTACTTAAAAGTAGTGCTACGACGGATATATACATACTTGATGAGGAAAAAGTATTTGGTACTTTTGAAACGAAATTGTATCCAGAATAGAGGTACCTACTATTTCCAAAAACTTCGAAGAATACAACTGCGTGAGCGAGAGGCAGGTCTCCGGCAAGGTTTAAACGTTAGGTCCTTTTGAAATGTACCCGCCCTTTCGTTTCAACGACCTTGAACGGCTTGACTAGAGGCGGTCATTCCGTATTTCAATTGCCGTAGGTTGGTTGGATTGCATGAGTATCAAGTTTTTTCATATATAAGTCATCTTATGCTACATAAAAAAGCACGAAATAAATACCAAAACCATTAATTTAGCGTTCTCTGTTTTGTAGTGTACACTTTGGCAAGACATTTATATCACGCGCGAATAAGCTTATGTAATGGAATCATGTCAAAGACGCAAAACATTTGTGAATCGAATTTAACAACCTTTCTCCTAACCGGTTTTCGTACCACTGATTTTTCCAAGTATGAACTTTGGTATATTTTTAACGGTAGGTAAATCTGCAAAATATATAATTCTGCCAGTCTTCGACATTGACGCTGACAACAGTTTTACTGAACACACCTTAAGGCACTCGGTCAGCCATCTACAGAATATTAGATCTGTAGGCATATTTTAATCTCTGACCCTTTTTTCCAGTGAAGATTCGTCTTCTCCTTGAAAAGGCTTACTGATGGGGCTGATACCACTTGTTCGACTTAAGCGTTCCATTCATTGACCATATTACTTCGTATATTCGTGCTTTTTGAACACTCCCTCTAAGACCTCGGAGATGCTAAATTTTGGAAGGTGCAAGATAACGGTAATTGCTTAATCGTCAATATAAGGTCGCCTCGCGTTCTATCATATGCCATAGGGAAAAGCATCAGATATTTCAAGTTAGTTTTTACTTTGGCTTGGTTTGGGGTCCTTCATTATAAAGGTGTTACGGTCCAAATCCTTGTGATCTATTACACTAAACGATATATTGTCAGTCTGTTCTTTGTTGTAATACTATATGGGATATCTTTTCGTATACCGAGATATTTTTCAGCAGTTATACATTTTATTGTTATTATGTCAAAACATGCAACTAAAGTTTTTGAGTTAAGAATTTTTGCGCCTGTCCGAAACTACAGATCTCTGTAGTACTCTCGCATTCCTACCCTTCAGCATAATCACTGACGGTTGAAAACACCACAAAGCAACCTGTGACGAAAAGCATCTGCTTCTAGTTCGCGAGAGACGGAAAACCTTAGTTCATGCCTACACAACAACATCCATTATAAACCGTCTAGAAACTTCAGGAGACCCTCCAGTTTTTTAAACATCAAACCTTCCGTTACCACGAATCTTTCAATGAACTCCACAGAGATGTGCAACAAAATGGGTTAAAAGATTAAAAAATAAACGTTTCTATGATCGACCACACAAACTATGATTATTCTTGCTGAGTTACTGAAGGATGAGAAGTGACCTGACAGTCGGGTAATACCTATCAAGTTTCTCGTGCCACCCCAACAATGATCGAACCTGGAGTTTGCCTTCGCAACATTCTAGATTATGTTTTCCGCACTTTATATCAACTAGCGAACAATCAAGCCGCATATACTGACTTCGAGTTGATCCTATTCGGAATGCACTTTTAGTTTGTATAATCGCGGCCCTACGACAGTTAGGAGTATTTGAATTATAGTATGAACTAAGAATTCCAGAAATAACGTAATTGGACCAAGAAGCACTAGATAATCACAAACGAACGTGGTGTATCTAGAATTTGAAATAGAGCACTCAACAAGTACAAAGGAGTCGTTAGTTCATCCAAACACCACATCCGTCACAGCTTAAATTGGAGTCTAGGTGTCTGTAATGAATTGTACGCCCTCTTCTCAAGTTCATCCTGTGTCTGTCGGACAGTGTGTTGGATAAGGACTTTGTATTATCTAGAATGTGCCCATTGGCATTAGAATTAACAACCGAAATCGAAACAGACCCATCTGCTTACTGAGATTGTATACAATCGCCGTGTCGGTTGTGTACCGAAACCACTATCTAGAACTTAGAGCACAGATTTCCCAACACTATCCTCCACCACGAAATAATGTCGGATCTTTATATCCCCAAGTTATGAACGATATGGCTTCATTTAAAACATATTTCTCACATTGGTCAAAATAAACATTAGAAGTGCTTTTGTGATAAGGGTAAACAGCAGTTGATATGAAATCATCAGAATTGTAATCAAACTTGAGCTCATTTATTACTTGTGCTTCGAATTGAACAAGTTTTTCACAAGAAGCAAATGCATTATGATGATAGGTAATATATGATATGACATCAGGATTTGATTCTTCTGAAATATTTTCATGAAATTTATTAAGAATGTCATTGTAGAGTAATGGATCATTAGTAAAATCAGCATCTATCAAAACTACATCAGGTCTTCGATCATGACTAGATTCATTCAACATATTTCCTTCAGATTTGCAAGGAATTTCATCAGAAATGTGTGAATCATTAGGAAAAATCATATCTGGTACAATAACATGAGAATTCTGACAAATTGATTGATTAGAAACCGTTGTCTCGCAAGGATTCTAAGTTTCATTTAACTCCGAACTGCTATATGACTCTGCACTGTCTTTTAAAATCGTTGATAAAGATAAATGATCATTATGAATACTCGATTCAGTAGAATCAGAATTACAAGACTTAATATTATTTGCAGTAAGATGAACATCAGTATAACAGACTGATTGAATATGTACAATATCACCACATTTAAAGCACTTAGAATTACGAAATTTACATGAATTAAAAGAGTGGGACTTGCCACAGGACAATCACTGACCAAACTTGTGCCAGTCTTCGTGAAATGCATTGCAACTCCTCAATGAATTATCTGCATAAGCTTGAGTATGCACTGGGTTGGGATGACATGATGTAGTAGAATTTGTGATGTCCTGATGAAGCATTTTACGAAGTTTCCCCCCTTTACTGCAATCAAAATTTACATACTTGACATAGTCTAGTAGTAGTTCCTTGAGAGTTGTATAAGGAAGCGAAATGGGCTTTTCCGGTAAAGCCGGAGTTCTTAATAAACTATATGTTTCTTTTCTGATGAATGTGAGGAGATGTACCACAATATTTACATCCTCATCATCTTCCTTGGTCATAGCCCAAATTTCGAACCTTTCAAAGTTATCCTCAAAAGCTTCATAAGTTATATGAATATCTAACTTTTCCATCGCAGGCACCATCGCGACGCCAGTATAATGTTTGAAAGTATTTGAATTATTGTATGAACTAGGAATCCCAGAATTAACGCAACTGATTCAAGAACTACGACACAAGCACAAACGAATAAATTGGGCACGGTTTAAGCGTTGGATCCTTTCTAATGTGCCCGCCCTTTCGTTTCAACGACCTTGAACGGACTGACTAGAGGCGGTCATTCCGTATTTCAATTGCCGTGGGTTCGTTGGATTACATGAGTATCAAGCTTCTTCATATATAAGTCATCTTATGCTGCATAAAAAAAGCACGAAGTTGGTACCAAAAGCATTAATTTAGCGTTCTCTGTTTTGTAGTGTACGCTTTGGCTCTGTTGTTGCTTTGTAATTTGATCTGTGATCCCAGCAACTGTAGTAAACCTCAACGGAATGTCAAGTCACAGGTAAATCATAAGTATTTGTAGTATTTCCTTAGGTTATTATTGTTGCAAGGAATAACTTTTTAATAATTAATGATCTCTGTTTGTAGTGCTTCATGCTCAAGTGACATTTCAGTCGACATTAGCGATGCTTTTCGAAGTATGATAGTGAACAAGCGTTTCCCGTGCTGGAGTGACTTTGATAGCGCCTTAAAATAGTTTCAAAAAGTATGGAATAGTAATTTTATCGCTTCTCAGACTACTTATACTCGTTACATCCACACGGAAAGCAGGTTGCTAAAAGATGTCATGTTCAAATACCTGTTTGTAACGTTTCATTGTACGTTTGGTCATAAGCGGAAATCGGAAGGTTTGAAAATGAAGCAAGAATTGTAAGATCTTTAATTTATATCTGATGTTTAAGGTATAAATTCCGTAATTGCCAATCTAAATTCCGTGTAAGACTAGAGGAGCAAGGATATGTCATCAAATCCTACAACATGCTCCAAGGCAATCAGTACATTGAAACACTCCTACACTGATGGACCAGATGGTATTCCATCTAGCATGCTAAAACGTGGAGGTGATGATATGTGTGTTTTGCTTCTCAAACTATTCGCGATATCACTCTCTTCAGCATGTTACCCTACTGCCTGGAAAACTACACATATCATTCCCAAAATTAAAACAGGACCTGAAGCAAACGTTGAAAATTACCGGCCTATAAACATAACTTCAGTGGTATCCAGAGTGATGGAAAAAGTAGTTAAGGCGGCTGTAGTCCAACATCTATTAACTAACAATCTCTTGTCGACCTCCCAGCATGGATTTCTTAGGTCCAGATCATGCGATACATGCCTAGTAGACTACCTGAATGATATAACTCTGAAACGAGACAGCGGACTCCTTGTATCAGTCCTATTCCTAGACTTTAAGAAAGCCTTTGATAAGGTCCCACACAAAAGGCTACTCGTCAAACTAAAGTCCTTCGGAATACACAACCCACTGTACTCATGGTTTGCTTCGTTCTTAACAGAACGTAAACAGATGGTAAAGTACAATGACTGCCTCTCGTCCCCTAGACCAATCACCAGTGGAGTCATCCAGGGAAGCGTATTAGGGCCACTTTTGTTTCTTATGTATAAACGATATATGTAACACCATAGAATTTGGGAGACCGTACTTATATGCTGATGATCTCAAAATAGTATACAGCTACAAGCCTGAGACACTAAGCGAAAGTGTATCCCAGATCCAAAAGGACCTCAATAACTTAACTATATGGAGTGAAAAATGGCAATTACCATTTAATCTCAACAAGTGCGGGATCATGCACTTTGGAAAGCATCCCTATAAACCACGACTTCACTTAAATGAATGTATAGTCCAAACACTCGAATCAGTACACGATTTAGGAATTAATTACACAGGAAGCCTAAACTTTGAAGAACATGCCTCCTCTATTATTTCTAAATCTAGACGGCTAATTGGTTTTATAATGAAAAACTTTTTCACAACAGAGGGTAAACTTACTCTCTACCAAATATTTATAC